TGGAATTACATTGAGATTGCAGAAGCCCAGATCAAAGTAACTATAATGCAATAGGTAAGAAAGATTGCAGGCTGATTATGAAAGATCAGGAATGAACTGTTAATTTATTTACCTTTGTAATTCCATCTAAGCTAAAAAATTGCATTACTGAAAAGAAAAAATCACTTGCAAAGCAGGAAAGCTCTTGAACCTAAGATTTAAACTTTTTTCAAATGCTCAAAGCAATCTTTATTAAGCTGTAATTATTTCCTAAGTCTCTGAAAACGTTCTACTTTACAGAGTTTAAGTGACTGGTAAATCAACATCCCACACACCACTTAAACCAAGTTGACACTTGTTGCAAAATTTCTTGTCCAGAAGTTAAAAATCAAATACATTATCACAAGCTGAGTTTTTCCAGAGGAGTTAATAGTACTGTGAGAATCCTTCTCACTTCTTTTGTGAAAGGGCTAAAATAATTTCATATGCATTACGTCTCTTGCCAAATAATGTCCACAATTACGTCCATTACCAAATTTACAGTACAGAGTGCATTTTCCCAAATGACTTGAGTTCATCTTAAACTGATCTAAAGAGAAGAAAAAAATCATTGATCTCAGTGATTCTTCAAAACCAAGTAAATTGAAAGCCTGATTTAAATCTACAACAATAACCTGCCGGATAACTAAAAGGCAACACCACACCATACCTAAAGAGGACATCTTCCTTTTCTGCCATCACTACATTATTTAGTTCAACATCTGAATAGAGGAAAAAAGGTGAGAAACCATTGCATACCTGTGGAACTTCTGTAGAGCTGTCTCTATTTGCACTGCTAAGAATAGCTTCTTGTATGGCCTGCCTTCACATTCAAAGAAGGCTATGTCTTGAAGTAGTTTCATTTTTCAGACTTTAATAATGCAGCAAAAGTAATATGGAAAGAGGCAGGTTCTTATGGCTCATAAGTAAAACAAAAATAGATAGCACAGATTAACAAGTGACATAAAATGTTCATGTGCATCACGTCTCCTTGTTACATGCTAGCACACAATTTAATAGCATATTTCTCACAACTTTCAGCTGCATGATACTCTCTTGTATATTTGCTCTGCATATTTTGTTCACTGGTTGAACAATAAAGGAATATAAGAACTAGAATATTGGAGACCTCAATCAAGATTCTGTTGGGTAACATCACAAGATGAAATACTTCGTATTTAAACAAGCATTTGGGAAAAAACCCAAACAAACCAACCTACTGTAATGTACTTTGTACATAGGGAACTCTTTGTCCTTGTAGCTATTCCAGAGAAAGATTTATAGTGGATTCACTCTCAGAAATATAATGTATTTAGCAACCACAGAGCAAGAGCACCACTCAGTGGAACTATCAGATAAAACAATACTGATAAAGCCAAAGTTATATATTCATAGCACAGCAGTAAAAAGAGTTCTAGGCAATTCTGCTAAGACAAAAATATTTCTCAGAAAAATTTTAGGTGAAAAGACTGCTAGCTTTAGTTCTTATTACAGAGACTATAATTTAAAATTCTATCCTTAATATTGCTTATTTGCTAGCTCACTTTCCCACATACAATCACTAAGTCTTTGTTAATACCATATTTCTTTTCCAAAAATACAAATTATAATTCCAAAAAGGAAGACATATGGCCATAAATAAAACCTCTTTAAAATTTGGAACGTGGTATTTTTTTATTTAATTCACAAATCTTTATGTAAAGTTACATAATGTGGAAAAAATTGCACAAGCAGGTGCTAACACGACAGTTATTTCTTATGCGTAATGACAAGAATTGAAGTTCCTTTCTCTCCTTATCAAAAGATAGAAAAGATGCATACAAGCTGTTGACAGCTAAATTACTTCAGGACAGACTATGCTAGCTGTGGAACTTCAGATATTGGAAAGGAAAGCTGGAAATTTTGTAATGATGCATTTTGTACTCCTCTGTATACACTGTGAAGCTTGCCACCATGAATTCAGATTGTGGATACAGTGACTTGCCCTAATAGCCCCCTTTTCTGTTCGTATATACCTAGATCTCTGATGAAAGAGGGAGAGGTGGATGAAGTAGCCATGGATAAAGGTGGATAAAGGACCCATGTTCGGGAATCCTAGCAGGCTGCATCTGTCACTAGCTTGTTTCAGATTGGTCATCTGGATATATAGTTTTTCATTATCACTTTATTACAAAAGCATCGATTTAATTCCATCATTTAGTCTTTGGAATCACGAGCATCTCCAGAATAACCATCATTTTTCTCTCTATGGGTAAAAAAACCTGAAGCCTGTTTGTGTCGGACCTCAAAGCGTTACTTAATCTCACCAGCTCATACTCACAAATGAAATCCACACAGCTGCTGAACGCAGCTGCCCAAGGGGATGTGGCAACATTTGCTTTATGGTAAGAGGTCATGACTGCTGCCATCAATGATTCTAGGACATGTTGTTGGCAGGAGCCTCTCTTGCTACTGAAGACGTCAAGAACTGAATGCTGTATCTAAACCCTCTTATTAGTTAACTAAAAATTGAGTTTGGTTTCACCGCTTTTCCTACTTTTCTGCTGAGATTAAACTCTTTCCCTGACACCAAATCCTACTTTGAACTTCAGCTTCCTGTTGTTATTTAGAAACCCTAGGACAGACAATCAAAAAGCTACATGACAGAAGCAGAACAGCAACTAAAACATCATCAATGGGATGAACTCAAGATAATTTTTTCCTAAATTTAGCCTGCTAAAGTTGACATAACTAAGAGTAAGTGACAATATATACTGACAGCCTAACTTTGATTCTACACCTCTTATGACAACATTGACTAGGGACGCCGAATAAAGAATACACTCAGACACAAGGTAAAAGAACCTTGATTTGTTCTGGTGCTGCCTGCAGAACGAGCAACAGATCAATGGACATTGGGTTATCCACTATTTCAGTGATTTAACATGAGGGAAATGAGAAAGAAATAGTGAATAAATAAGTAAAAATGCAAGAGAAAGGAAGCAGTAGAGATGAGATTTTTTTTTTTAATAAAGCCAGCTAATACTGAAGTTAAAAGATTTTTTTTTTCCTATTAACCAGAAAAGAACTAAGAATATATTCCCTTACAAAGCTGAATATATTTTATTCCAAAATGGAGAAGTAACACACAGATTTCTAAACCTAAATGTAAAATTAAACCTCTACTCTTAACAATTGTTTCCTACATTCAGAAGGAGAGTTTAACACATTTCATAAGACTTGTCAGCTGGACATCAGCAATGTGCCTTTAAAATGCCAGCTGCAATTCCAGTTGCATAAAATGCCAGCAGAGGATGCAAGATATCCCTACCTCCATATATAGCACGTATAAACAATTTTCAATTTTTCATCTCCCAAGAAAAGCTTAAAACACAAACATTTGAACATTTAGGTGTTCACTAGCTAGCTGCTGAAACAGGAAAGCTTTTTAAAATGAGTAACTTTGGAGTCTTGCAGTAAGGCTTGTGGCAAGTCCAGCCAAAGTGTTTCCAAGGGTACTGGGTCTGGGTGTTAATTTTTTCATAGCAGCCTGTATGGCGCTGTGTTTTAGATCTATGCCTAAAACAGTGTTGATAACACACTAGTATCAGCAGTGTTTGCACAGCGTTGAGGCCTTCTCTGTCACTCTGCCCCTGCAGCAAATAGGCTGAGGGTGTGCAAGACATTTGGAGGAGACACAGCTGGGACATCACTTTGTTTTGCCTGGGAGAGCTATGACAAAAGCACCAGCCTTGAGCTTAATCTGGTATTTGGGCCCTGCATTACTACAGTCCCTTCCGGGGCGCACCTGTTCCAGTGCAGCTTTACCCACTGGCCACAGTTCCTATCACGAAATATACAACTGCTCTGGTGTGGGGTCCTCCACGGGCTACAGTGTGACCTCACATGCTGACCACCATCTTTAGAGTGAGGGTCTACAATAGACCAAACTTAGTCACAGAGGAGAACTCTACTTTGGATTGCAGTAAAGCTTCTGCGCATCTTAGCTAAACATACCAATCCAAAAACGTACACTTGTAGTAATCATTAAAAAGGTGTAAAGCTATCAGAGAGAGTTATCCAGTCAGGATTTATTTGAATCTTTACCTTACTACACAAATTATTTCACAGCATAACATGCTGGGCATATTGGAGATTGTGAAGAAGATTGGAGATCTTCTAAGAACACAGCTATTACTATCATATCTGGTTAAACATTTGAGGAAGATTCTCAAAAACTAAAATTCCAGTAAATCGTAAACCCCAGTATGTTTCTCCTTTAACCCAGTCATGCATTGACAAACATTTGTGAACTAAATGATCTCAATAAAACTGTATTTAAGAAATACACTTCGCTACAATTCTAATTTAAAATTTGGATCCTGAAGTTCACTAATATAGTCAGGTTAGAGCAACATTTCATACAAATAAATAGGCCAACAACTAATTTTGTGAAGTTTAGTCTTTTACCAGGGGCACCTCAAATGTTCCCTCTCATGATCCCCTCTCACTGAAGATTACGGCACACTCACAGTGAATCTCTGATGCCCATTTGCTACAATACTAGGCCTGGTGCTGACACATATAATGTCCACGTTTGTGGGACAAGAAAGTAATACTCATGGTCTATAAAGTTCTCATGGGGATGGATCCCACTGTCCCTAGCTGGAAAGTTGTCCCTGCTTCTAGCTAACAGACAGCAAACCTGTAATTAAAATATCTGCAGATGCCGGTCCTGCCAATGTCATAGCAGGATTCATGACCTTATTTTTCCAGGGTTCTGCTTTTCTAAACTGGAAATATATCCATACCTGGCATAACAGAAAACCCAAAATAAACAATGAGGAGTGCATTTAATAATAAAAAAACCAAATACACAACACATTCATATACTCTCTTCTAATTACACTGAATTTCTAGGACACAGATTGGTTCTTTGGGAAACATTAAAATGTTCAGCACTTAAACACTACAGAATCTGCTTTTTCACCATAATGCATTACCTGGTAAATTAGTCTTCATAATATCAATGCCAACTTGAAGCTCAGGCTCAGCTGCAAGAACTGCATAATCTCCTTGATGAGAGATGTTGAAGTTGTAATTCGAATAGATACTGAATACGTTATTTGCCAGGAAGGGTTTTCCTTTTGATGTCCTTTGCAAGTTTATTTCATTCCAAGGTATGCACAACTTTTCTGCAATTAATTTCCGCATCAGCAGGCGTCCAGCCTGTGAAATAAAATGGAAGTGATTAATACAGAACTATTATGCTATGTGCAAAATATCTGTGGTTGCTAGAAAACCACCTACCTAAAAAAATGTGGCTTTATTATTGCCGATACAAAGTTAAGAGTATATTTTAGCCAAATCATTTAGATTTCTCCCTTTTATAAAAGCCTGTGTCAAGTAAATTTAACCAAAATAGTTTACCAGACCCAAGTACAGAATGCATTTGTTATCGCTATTAGCGGAGAGACAACACAAGACCCAATAAAAAGCAGTCCCAGCCTAGAAGAACCACATAAAATAGTTCCTTCTCTACCTTATTTACTTAGGATACTTTATGGCATAGATCAATACTGTTTATCCCACATGAACGTTCAAAGTGTCTCAGCAGCCTTCCTTTCAGTACATTCACTCAGTGACTCAGGTGCTAAATACCACACAGCTAAAAATTATGAGTAACTACTTACAGGCTAGTTAGCAAAAGTCTGTATTACTACCACATTGTTACGTAAGATTTAAAACCTGAATTATGTAACCAGTTTTATTTCCTTACACATTACACTACTGTCTTCACGTATAGTCTCCCAGAGTACGTTGATTTTTATCTCTTAACATCATGACATAAAACTCGTGAAGTCTTTCGGAGTAACTACTAAGAGCAGACTGCAAACATCCCTTTTTCCTCCGAAGTGAAGATGTAAGCAGAGCTGGCAATTAACGCTTTGTAATGCATTTACTTCCCTGTCATGCCCTCGCAGGGCGTATTTTCCTACGAGAAGTCAGAAAATTGGGCAATACTGAGTCGGCAGAGAGACAACCGGGTCCCCAGGGGAAAGTGCCGGTGCCGGGACCGCGAGTGGTGCCGGGGGGAGGGGGGAGGAGGGGGGGGTCCCCAGCGCAGCAGCCTCCGCCCGCGCCCCGAGGCGCCCTCGGCAGCCTCCGCCACGGCCCCGTCGAGGGGCAGGGCCCCGCCGGCGACACCCGCAGCAGCGGGAGAGAGAGCAACGAGACGGAGGGCTCCGGGCAAGGCGGTCCAGTGAGTCCCGCCCGCAGACTACGGCCGCCCGCCGCCGTGCCTCCCGCCTCCCACCAGCATGTACCAAGGCGGCTTTGGCATCGCGGGCAAAGACAAACTGGCCGACGCGGTCCTTCTCCTCGGGCTGCACCAGCCGCGCCGCCAGCAGCCACTCCTGGCGGCAGGGACGCCAGGCGGCGCAAGGGAAGGCCCAGCGCACGCTGCCCATAGCCCCCCGCGCCGCCCGACGGCAGCGGGACCCGCGCCCCGCCGCCTCCACTACCGCGCGGCACAACGCGCGCATGCGCTTATCCTTGGGCGGGAGGGACCCGCCGTCGAGGAACGGCAGCCAATCAGACATCAAAGTGCCCTGTGAGTGACAGGGGAATGCGCCAGGTATCGACTTATCAGGGGAAAGGCGGTGCCTGCGGCTGAACTGCACCCATGGTGTCGTCAGCGAGCACAGAGAGGAACCCGCTCGGGTGGATGGGTGGGCTTTCGCAGGATTGACGGCCGCGGGAACCATTCCAAGTAGAAGAAGCGGAAGAATGACACCGGAAGGAGCCAATCTGCTGGCGCTGCTCCTGCGGAGGGTGGGCCAGACTGGTCGGCGAGCTGCTGGTGTTGGCTGCAGGTGGGTGCGCGCTGTTCGGAGGGAGCGCTAAGGGGGGGCTAGCACTTCGCCGGTTGCGGAGAGGTGACAGCGCTGGAGACCGCCACATCCCGTGGCCGGGCCCCGCGGCCGCGCTGCGAGAGGAGGGGAAGCCTTCTGCACCATCCGGCCAGAATTAGTCCTCCCTTAGAATGAACGGCGGCGCCGCAGGGCGCATGCGCGGGCGGCGTGGGCATGCTCCGTAGCGGCGCTGACACAGCTACCCTCCCGCCGGCGGGTGGGGCGAGGGGCGGGGCTGACGGGGCTGCCGCGGTCTCTGAGGCTGGCGCCGACGGGCTGCGGGGCCTGATGTGGTTGGGGGTGGCCGGTAACCGCGGCCCTGGCAAAAAGAATGTAATTTCCCTGTAACTTCTGGCTGTCGCCGGCTTTGTGCGAGACCGGGCCGCGTTTACCGCGTTGGGGAGAGTGTCCGCTGGGGGTTCTCCGTGGCACCGTTATGGCTTTACGGCAGGTGACTCTCCCCGTCGCTGCCGTTTGTACGTCCGTGCTCCTGAAGGAGCGTCCCGGCCGCTGTAGAGCTGGCACATGCCGGGAGCTGCAGCAGCGGGGGCGGCCTGTGCGCCTTCCCTGCACTTGCTGCTTTGCATTGACTAGAGAAGAGGAGACGGTTGTTCACACCTCGGATGCAAAGCACTGTATCACCCTAGCTTGAGTCTGACTTCTAAAGAGTATGTCCAAACAAAAGACTTCGGTGCTCTTTGTGTAGTTGTCTGAACTGCATTCCCTGTGCCCTCAGTTATAGGCCATCTGTAAATCATCAAAAGGTAGTAATTTTGTTTGAATTTGGTTTTGAAGTTGAGGCATGGCTAAAAAACTTAGGGTCGGTTTGAAAATTTATGACCCTCCTTTCTGTTGCTTGCCTTCAGAAGTATTTATGCTTTAACCATTCTATATTGACCATGTACAAATCATGCAAAAATACAGAAAATTATATTATTTCAGGTATTTCTTAGAATCTTTCTTTTTTTGTTGTTGTTTAGCATTCCCAGCTCCCTGTTAATGTGCAAAAGTGCTGTTTCTACACAGGCCAGAAGAACTCCTGTCTTTCTGCCTAAAGAAGTCTCAGTTAAAACTCAGTATAGGTTGGTCTTTGCAAAATATTTTAAACACAGAAGTGACATTTTGGGGAAAAAATGTTTCAGCAAGGAATCCGTAGTGTAATTCACTTATTTTTAAATATGGTTTCCATTTTTTTTTCATTATTTAGTCAAGGAAGGATGTCACAAATACTCCCTTACGTATTATCCAAAGACAGAGACAAAGTTAACTGACAGCAGAGGACGATTTAGCACAGTAAGAAAAAAAACCCAGGAAAATGCTATTCACCAATATCAAATTGTAGCTGAGGCTTACGTTTCAGGCATTGTATTCTGCACACTTTAAAGAGGAAATTGTGGCCATATCTATATGTAGTTCCTGATATGTGATAATTCTAACGGAATATGGATCTTACCTAGTTCCAAAAAACCCCTCAGGTTTGATTAATAGGTTTGACTTGTCAATGCATTCTACTTAGAGAGATGTAAACATACAGCAGTTTTTTTCACTAGCATATTTATTGATTTTTTTAAAAAAATAAGTATCATGTAAGTGCAAACTGAGATTCAAGATGCACTGTATAATATGTAATATGAATAAGTTCAATATAAACCCACATTTTTATTATAAGTAAAACATGCTATGATAATAAGCTATGCTAAATTATTCTATAAATTGCTTAAAATTGCATGTGTGTTTTGAAAAAAACACATATTTTAATGACATACAGAAATGACGGACTACAGAACCCAGTAAAAGCAGTTATTTCTTCTTCCAGAATTTGCAGTTATTATTTTTGCCAGAATTAGAAGTACAGCATGGCATTTTAATTCTGATTTTTTTTTTTCTGAAAATGAAAATTAGAGTTCTTGAACTTTTTTACCTAAGAAAATAATTTCTAAAGGAACTTCATGTATTCGAGAAATTTAGCTTTATGGTAGAATCTGGTCAGTTTAAGTTCTTCTAAGTGATTATTTTCTCTATCTTAATGGATTCATCTGTTTGTGAGAGGGTATGCAATTAAAGATCACTGCTTGCAGAGAGGGAATCTTCCACTTTTGGAAAGCCTCCAGGAATCAGTGCAATTTCACTGCTTCCTATAGGAACTATGCTGGGGTTTCTTTCCAAGCTGGTTTTTTTTCAATCACTTCTAAAGAACCCAAAGCTTTAAAGTCTCTGTGTCACCTTTTCTTCTTAGAATACTGTCTCAACATGTATTATTGATAAATGCCACTTTTGTGGATTAAATGTCTCAGAAGGTCACATGCATCTTTTTTTATTTTCTAAAAATTATTGACTGAATATTAATTTTCTTTGAAGCTCAGTTATTTATGAAAAAGCTGTGAGACTCAGTTGCATTGAGATTTCCAAAGAGGAACCTGGAATTCTGTTGCTGTCTGGTTTCAGTCTTAGACAGTCAGCATCAATCAAAACAATAATACAAAAATAATAATAAAAGTACAGAACTTTGTACTTAGTATTTATAATTTAATTACATTTCAATCCACTCCTATCTTTTAAGTCAGCAATTAGAAGTGTCACCAAATCCTTTAGATACCTGTTCCGCTCATATTCGTCTTGCTGAATATAAATTAGATGCTCTTAAATTAGATGTGTAGTGGGGAGTGATGTCTTTAAAAATTGTTAACAAGTTATTAATTTCTCCCCTTTTGAATAGATAAGGAGTGAAAATAGCAAATCATCTGGATGGGTATATCGTAGACTTAATAATATAATACTTATTTTTTAATATTAGATTTTAAAATGCTGACCTTGACTTTTTCAAAACTTACATTAACTGTACAGTTAAATTTTGTATGAAAAAAAGAGCTAAAACTTCTCTAGAGAAATGTATACAATTTCTTTATCTTTGTTGGTCTTAATTCTTTCTTCCTAGGTACATAAAGTATGCTGTAAAATATCAGCATTTATGATTTCTCTTTTTTAAAATCCTGCTATCTAGTAAGACATACTATCCAAGTTGGGAGAAGGCTAATGGACAAAGGTAATGTTCTCCTGAAGAACAATTTATTTCTCGTAAGATATCTGCTAAGAAGTATTAAGAATGAATATTCTTTTTTATAATTGGTGAGAGACTGCTGTAGCACAGCTATATCGTGCTTTGAGATAAAGCAGATAGATTGTTTTACAATTGTTTGTAAATAGTAAAGTACCAAATAAAGGTTGAGTTTAGACTCTTTTTGCCAGCTGTTGTTGGTAGAGGAGAGAACATCTACACACAGAATGTTATTTGTACTGTCTGAATGTGTACATGCCTCATGCAAGGTTGGTGTCTGTTATGCTGGGAACAGTCTCAGGCTTCAGTCCTGTTACAAAGGTTCGGTTATGTTTATTGTCAGGCAGGCATGGCCCTAACACGCTTTTTCTGACAAAGTGCTAACTTACATATACACGATACTTATGTATGCTCAATACTTTCACAAAACAACATCCACTAGGCTCCCCTAGGGGAATATATACAAATATATACAAAAAACCATATCTGTATATATATTTTTATCTTAATATTATAGTGATCAAAATAGTTTGGTGTAAGTCTTCTCCAGTGTCATTCTGTACCCTGTGTTCTCATCTGGGTGTTTGTGCTCCATTCTTATTACACAGGCCTTTGCCCTTCCTTGTTTAATAAATATTCCTCTGTTATTCACTTAGAATTAATTGCACATCTTATACTATTCTCAACTTCATTAGGACATTCAAACTTTTGTAACCATCTTATCTGTCAGTCACAGCCCCTAAGGCTAATTTGACTGTTGGATTAGCGAAATCTTTTCATCAAAAGTGTTTATGAATATATGTACTTTATATAAGTATGTTCTGATCGGTGCTTTCATAAGAAAACTGCAGTAGACCCTGCACAAACAGAAGTTCATCTCTGCTCAAAGTTCACTCTGCAGTTCTGTTTGCTTTGGTGTTTCAAGTCTGGTGGAATGGATGTGAACACCGTTTCTAGGAGGCATATTGCAGTGGTTATGATTTTAGTGTATGTCTGTTGAGATATTCTGCAAATGGCTGTCCTGGATGTTTTTGGACTCCTATCTAAGTTTAACAGTATGCTGTGTTTACAGACTCTTAGTGTAATATCTAGGCTTCAACAAATATCCAGGTTATAAAACTGATACTCAAAAGGGCAGCTGGACTTTCTGAAGGGTAAGTATAAACAAATAAATTACACATTTCAACTTCTTCCACATATAGAATTGTAAGTACATCTAAGAAGGATTGTTGATGGTGCCAACTAAAAGAAAATATAAATACGTTATGTCTTATAACTATCTTTGGAAAGGGAACATTAGCATTGGTGAAGTAAAAGAATTCCTCTAGAAATTCAGTGAGTGTTTTTGGCAGCTGTTTGCTTGGTGTACAAGTATTAAGGTCAATTAAACATTTTATTGTAGCTTTTAACCAATAGATAGATACTAATAATAGGAATGGGTGTATATCTCATATTTTGACTATGGGCTTATCAGACTTCTCAGTGTGTTTACCTGGCATCTGGGTCAATGAGCTCATTATGTTTTAGGCTGCTCCATCCCTTATTGTCTTGGGAAAAGAACAGTGTTAAAACAGAGGGGTCTTGTGAACAGCAGAACTAATGAGGTCTAGGTCCTTATTAGTGGACTTTGTGACAAACTATAAGAATGCTCTTACCCTCCAGTGCTCCCAGGTGGTCCCTTAGTTCATGGACTGTAATGACTAAAATCAGCTTACTATCTCTATCCTCCTGCTGTTCAACTGCTAGCTGCTTTGTGGCTATACATAGGCTGGCCATTTCTTGCCACTTAACCAACAGGTGTGCAGAATGCCTTGCCCCTCAACTGGAGATCTGTACAGATAGCTTTGAGAGGTGCATATATCTCCCCAAGCATGTATTATGTGGGGTTAACCTTAATAACATTGCA